CATTATGTATTTCTTCATTTATCCATTGTTTATCCTTCCATCCATCATCCATCATCTTTCCATGCATTATCTATCGATTCATCCATCTATCCATCATCCATCCATCCTTTATCCATCATTCATCAGCCATCATCCCTCTATCTATCCATTATCCATCGTCCACTCATCCATTCATCCCTCCATCTGTCCATTATTCATCAACCATCCATCCATCCATTATCCATCCATCTATTATCCATTCCTGCATTATCCATTTATTCTTTAGCCATTTCTCCATCTGTTCATCATCTATCCATCCATTATCCATACACCTATCCATCACCCATCCATTCCTTCATCTATCCATTATTCATCAATTATCCATCCATTCATCTATCTATCCATCATCTATTGATTACTTGTTATCCTTCCTTGTATCAGACATCCATCCATCCTCCTTCCATGCATCACCCATCCTCATTACTCAGCCATCCAGCTGTGCATCCATCTATTCACTGATATAGTTCACTGTGTCCCTGCTATGTGCCAAGCACTGTGGTAGGCACTTGGGGTAGGATGCTGGAGCATCCAGAGAGGGCGTCATGAGCCTGGGTTCAGATTCCACCTTCTCCACTTGTGACCTTGGGCAAGTTATTTGACCTTTCTGTGCCTGCTTCCTCATTCATTAAATCCGGATAATCATTATACCTACCTCTTCAAGCTGTTGTGCAAATTAAATGAGTTAACATATTTGAAGTGTCTAGACCAGAGCCTGGCACATGTAAACACTTTGTGGGTGTTTACTAACAGGACAACAAGGGGAAGTCAAGGCTGTGGGAGCTGTGGTCTAGGGAGGCTCCTTTGAGAAAATGATGTTTAAACCAAGATATGAAGATTGTCTGGGCATCAGGCAGGCAAGCGTATAGCAGGGAAAGAAAGTACATTAGAGGACTTTAAAATAGTCTTATGGCAGGTGTGGAGAGCAGGGAGGTCAGGAGGCAGTGGTGGGAAATTAGGCATCAGAGGGCAGTGGAACCAGGTCAGGAGGGACTAGAAACCTTGTTAGGGAGCTTAGAGTTTATCCTGGGGCAATGGGTAGTGGGCAGTGGGATGCTTTCAGCACACTGGGATGTGCCTGGGTGTACATTTGAGGAAGATCACGGCAGTTATGGGCAGAGAATAGATGTGGGAGACGCCTCTCCCTTCCTCATCCCTGCTACACTCAAGAAAGAGAAGAAAGTGGGCTGGCTTAGGAAAGTGGCCCTGGAGAGGGGACCATGCAGGCAGATTCAGGAACCAATTAGGAGGGAATGGACTGAGGTGGGAGGAAAGGAAAGTTGGTGATGACTCTCAGGTTACAGGGTCAGCTTGGGGGACAGGGAAGATGGAGACTTCATGGTTCAGATGTCTTGAGTCTCAGGGGCTCAGGGGACACCCAGTTGGAGGTTTGTGCTCATTCACTCACCCATTGATTCATCAAGCGAACAATTTGTTAATTCACTTTCCATTCATTCAGTAAATATTAATGACCTTCTAGGTGCGGCTTAAGGCGGGGCTGGAAATGGGCCTGGGAGAGCAATTATAGTCCAGCTCTACTAAGGCCTTGAATGTCAGAACAAGGAGTTTGGGCTTTGGCCTCATGCGAGAGAGGGTCACTGCCACATATGGGGCTGGGCAGGGGCAGATCCAGCAGGGATCTAGCCCTGGCCACCAGGCATCTCGGAGCTCTTATTCTCACCCAGGGTCCTTCTGAAGTTGGCGAGTGGACCACAGAAGGTCCAGAAGATGATTTTAGTTGACATATGGGCAAAATTTTAATCTATTTTAATAGTTGTGTTTATGTCAATGTGTATTAGAAAAAAAATGTACAGTGGGCACGTCAGTGCTATGATTTCACAGACGTTACTGCTTAGGATGAAACCAAAATAGGCATTTAAGTAAAAAGAAAAAAAGAGTTGGCTTAAAGAAAACTATTAAATAAACAATTGTGCAAGTCGTATGTGGTTATGATATGTGGACAGCTCGAGCGACAGCCATTGTCATGGGGCAAGGGAGAGAGGTCGGAGGCTCCCAGGGCCACTGAGCTTCAAATCCTCTGGTCTCCTTCTGGGCACCTCCTGGGCAGGGGCTGAGAACCAGCTGTCTGTCAGTCTCATGAAGTCTGCAGCAAGAAAGCTGCTGGTTAGATAAGAGGAAGCACTTCTAGGCAGGCTGGGTGAGTACTCCCAATAGGTTTACTCCGAGTTCGTATGAGAGTTGTCGCCAGGCGCGGTGGCTCAAGCCTGTAATCCCAGCACTTTGGGAGGCCGAGACGGGCGGATCACAAGGTCAGGAGATCGAGACCATCCTGGCTAACATGGTGAAACCCTGTCTCTACTAAAAATACAAAAAACTAGCCGGGCGAGGTGGCGGGCGCCTGTAGTCCCAGCTACTCGGGAGGCTGAGGCAGGAGAATGGTGTAAACCCAGAAGGCGGAGCTTGTAGTGAGCTGAGATCCGGCCACTACACTCCAGCCTGGGCGACAGAGCGAGACTCCGTCTCAAAAAAAAAAAGAAAAAAAAAGAGAGTTGTCTTTATGCAGGGAGTGAATACCAGCGTCTGCCTGAATCTGGAAGGTGGGAGTCACCATCCGGTTTGAAGGCAGGGGGTGCCTGGTTGAGCACCCAGAGGCCTGGATGGGAAAGAAAAGGCCCCTCCCGCCACCTCCGCAGACAGCTTTCCCAGCTACTCCTCCCCTGCGCTGCACTGAGCAGACAGGCTCCGACCATGGAGAGAATGACTGTGTGTGTGTCTTTGGTCTTGACACCCATATATATCGGCGTGACCCACAGCCCAAACTGCTTACACAACCTCGTTGTGCCCTGGGCACCTGTGTCCCGTGTCTCTGCATCCACACGCCCTGGGCTCGTGTGTACATGCCAATCTTACCGTGGCCCAGTCACACAGACCCATGATCATCAGAGACTGACTTTGGCTCGAAGCACTGACCCTACCCTCACCCCCCTACATACACATACACATTGATATTGCTCAAGTGTGAGTCAGCACCTTGTATGTACCTAGGTGCTAACTGCGTGTCTACTGCTCATCCACACCGTGTGTTCTGTCGACCTTGTGCACACACACTCATGTGTGCTTTGCCGGCCCTGGACGAAATGCCACACGTGTGCTGATGCTGAACAAACATGCTCATGATACACGGATGGCCCTGGGCACACACCTGTGTCTGCACATGCTCCGTGCTTCTCTTGTTGCTTGTTGGTACATGTCACCCCCTCTCCCCCGGTGCAGAGGACCCATGAGGCCACAGTCCCTTCTCTGGCCAAGGGCTGATGGGCAGGCCCGGGCCTTCGTGAGTAACTGGGCTGCCTTTCCTCTTCGGCTGGTGGCTGTGACGGGCACGCATCCCTGCCACCCCCGCCAAAGCCAGCCATCCCGGCCACACACTCGTCTCCCTCGGGTAATGGAAATGTCAGCTTGATTCATGGAGATTCATCTGCGGCAGCCGGGCCTAACGATGAGGCACGCGGCGGGAGGATCATCCCCTGGGAAGAGCCGCTGCAGCGAGGGTGCCAAGTCCCTGCTTGGGAGGACGTGAGGATGGAAGAAAGCCCCCGAAGCTGTGCATTTAGACAGGCCTGGGTTCAAATCCCGAGGCCACCGCAGACCTGCTATGTGCCTCATTTATCCAAGAACTAGTTATGGAGGGA